AATTTTTTAAAATGTATTTTATTTATTTATGCATACAAGAACTGGGGTACAGGGCAGAGGTGCGGGAGGTGAGAGGATTCACTGGAGACAGAGTGGGGAACAGAAGAGGCAGAGACACTGAAGAACACTGCTGAGGGTAAGTCAGGAGAGGTCTCCTGTGCCATGTGGGTAGATCCCTGGCCTGCTGGGGATCAAACTCATGCTGTAGAGGCTGAAGATAGTTTCCCAGTGCTGCACTTAACACCCTGTGCCACCAGGGAGGCCCTAAATACTAAACATTTTGATTCTTATAACCTGAAATAATTCTTCTGTTTTGGGATAGAGAAATCAGCCGGATGGTAAAACATGGAAATTTTGGTAAATGTTTACATATTATTGTTTTTTTTTTTTCCTCATCACCTAAGCACTCAGTTTAATAGACTGGTAATTCTATGGTCATAATCTGAAGTGTCATTTAATAAAATCAAGTATTACAAACAGAAGATTATTAAACCTAAATGTGTGTTGACATTGATTCTAGTACTTCCTTGTGCACTGATCTTTTGTCTTTGTTTTTACTTCATTTATAAATTGAAGAATTAAGTTTGTATGAGAAAATGTGGCTTTATAAAATCTAAATCTCTTAAATGATATATTTTAAAGCCATTCATATTTTAAAGCCATTCATTCTATTTCGGTGAACAATTTTCCTGGATGTGTTTCAATTCATAAATAAATGTTCACATATGGGGAATTTGTTCTTCAGTAGATTTTGTCACTTTCACATAAAAGAAGGACTCAGCATTCATAAGCAATATTGAACACATGGTTTATAAATTTTAGCTCATTATGATGAATAAAGCTATTTTTAAATCAGAGATTTGGAAGTTTGTTTATAAAAGTAGTTATTTATTTATATAGAAGTAGTTAAATCAAAATGATCCTTTTTTAATTTTAAATTATCCATTGTTCCTGTTCTCTCCCATTTTTTGCCCTGTAGCATTGTTTGACATTTCATAGAAAGTGATTTGGCACAGGGTTATAAAATATGTCATTGTTAGAGTAACCTGTTCTTGAATTTCCCATTATATTCTAGTCATGATTAGGCAGAGTTTTCATTGGTGTTTGTTTTGGAATGAGATTTCTTTTTCCAGGACCAGTGATCAAAATGTGGCATTTAGGTAAATAGAAAATAGTTTATGTACCATACAGCTGTGAATCAGAACTGCTGAAGAAATATAAATCTTTGACCTATATCATATAAGTAGCACCATACATAATTGAAAATATAGTTTAACACAGTGCAAAACATACATTTATAGAGGTATCTATAATCCTTAAAACAAATGTAATGATGTAAATCAACTTTATCTTAATACACATACAGAAAAAATATAAAGAACAAGATATTCCTTTAAGATGCTCTGTGTTGCATTATCCTTTATGAATCTTTATGGTTAATGTTAAAATTTTCAATTTATTGACTGTGGAGTTATATTTGCAGATCCTGAAGATGCCCTCTTCCTGTCTTGCAGATAGAGTTTGTTGTATCCTCCCAAATATCTACTTATAAAGGCATCTAATTGCTTCTTAAAAACCCCATCTCCAAATATCATTATCTAGATAGTGAAATAACTGGTACATTTTCCATGCATGTTTAGTTATGTATGAAAATCTATCTGTAAAAATGTTATGTATGAATTGTGCATTAATTATCTGCACAGTAAGTATAACCCATCTCATTTAATAATAAAAAAACGCCTCCCTGGTTGCGCAGTGGTTGAGCGCTGGGTTGCGAAGCTGCCGGTAGCCTCTGCAATGCCGGTTCAATCCCCGGCTGCTCCCCGGCCACTGGAGGAGGGTCCCACATGGCGTGCAGACCTCTCCTGCCGCCCGCTGCTCCCCTCAGCTGTGTACTTCGGTTCTTCTGCCTGTTCTGTTCCCCGCTCTGCTTCTGGTTAATTCTCTCACCCTCTTGCGCTTCTGACTGTACCTGGGGCTTATATAAATAAATAAATAAATCTTTAAAAAAAAATAATAAAATGCAATTGTTATAACACTTTGTCATTTTGCAGGTCAGAACACATTAGCTTCTTTCTCAGTCAGTTTGGGCTGGTATAAAGAAAATACCATAGAGTGGGTGGCTTGGACAATAGAATTATATTTCTAGAGTTACTGAATCTGGGAGGTCCAAGATCAAATACAAAGTTTCCAATAAATCTAATACTTTGTGATGCTCTCTTCCTGGCTTGCAGATAGAGTTTGTTGTATCCTCCCAAATATCTACTAATAAAGGCATCTAATCCCAAGTTGTGGGTACGACCCTATGACATAATTGCTTCTTAAAAATCCCATCTCCAAATATCATCAGCCTGCAGTTACCTACAAAGCCTTTTTAGCCTTGAAAATCTATTCATTGTTTGGAATGATAGGGCTAGAGTCAAATGTCATCTTTTATTTTAATTTTTTAAAAGATTTATTTATGCATACAAGACATGGGGTGCAGGCCAGAGGTGCAGCAGGGCAGGGGCAGGGGGCATAAAGGGGTGTGAAAGGATTCACTAGAGATAGATTGGGGAGCAGAACAGGCAGATAGATTGAAATACACTGCTGAGGGGACCACGGGTGAGATAAGAGAGGTCAGCTGTGTCATGTGGGTCACCTCTAGCCAGGGATTGAACTCTGCTATGGATTGTCCCACAGTGCTGATGCTTAACCCCTTGTACCACCAGGGAGGACCCTATTTTAAATTTTTAAATTTTGACAATGCAGCTATAACTTTTTTAAGATATGAAACTATTCTAAAATATTTTATGTTATAGTATATCAGCAGGTACTTTTTGTTCAAAGGAACTGGTATCAAGTTGCATATTTATTAGGGAAAGAAGAGGCATTCATTTTTTTAAAGATTTATTTATTTATGCACCCAAGAGCTGGAGTACAGGCCAGAGGTGTGGGGGGTGAGAGGATTTACCAGAGACAGAATAGGGAACAGAACAGGCAGATTGACAGAAGTACACTGCTGAGGGGAGCAACGGGCAAATCAGGAGAGGTCTGCTGGGCCATGTGGGTAGCTCCCTGGCTGGCTGGGGGATTGAACTCTTGCTGCAGAGGCTGCAGACAGCTTCATAGTTTGCATCTTAACCCCTCATGTCACCAGGGAAGCCCCAGAGGCATTCATTAATTATCTTTATATCTACCCTACTATTATACTATTTATGTATATCTACCCTACTATTATACTATTTATATGACCAAAGATTTTTATTTTTTCTCTCCACACAGTTTCTTCTATGTCCTCTATTTTAAATGCATTCCTTACTGTTAGTGTACACTTACATGCCACATGTTCTACAATAACCTCCCTGTGAAATCACTTCTTTGATATTTGATATAGTATACTTCTAACACTCATGAAATAGAAGACATAACATGGGATAGACACTAAGTTTTGATTAACACATCAATGGGCAAAGAATAACCTCTTTCTACTTTCTTTATATGATGTTGTACTAGCTACATTACTTTGTTTGTTTCTCATCCTCCCTTTTCTCTATGCAGCCCTCAAATTCTCTGTCTTCAATTATTTACTTTTCTCTGCCCATGCTCTTTCATTTAGATAAACCTCAACTCTTGAGTCTACTTTAATAATTCCATTTTTTTTTCTCCATGTAGGGTTTTTAATTGGTTTCAAATATTTATCTCCAATTGTCTCCTGGACATTTCTATTTGGATATTCTGTCATCTTTTCAAACATAACTGTTTCAAAATCAACACATGATGTTCTTCTTCAATGATATTTCTCTCCTGTGTTTTCTTATTTCTGTCAGATTTTTGCATAGCCACCAGTCATTTATTATTTTCCAGTCACTAAACATGCCACCTTTGTTGCAACACTTCGTCAGTCTTCCTGGCAAAGTTCCTGACTGAGTCTTCCTATCTTATAAATTACTGCCAGGGGCCTCCCCAGTGGCGCAGTGGTTGAGTGCTGGGATGCGATGCTGCCCGCAGCCTCTGTAGTGCTGGTTCGACCCCAGGCCACCGAGTGAGGGTCCCACATGGCACGCAGACCTCTCTTGCCATGCCCGCTGCTCCCCTCAGCAGTGTATTTCGTCTGTCTGCCTGTTCTGCTCCCCGCTCTAACTCTGGTGAATTCTCTCACCCTCCTGCTCTTCTGACTGTACCCAATGCTTGTATGAATAAATAAATAAATCTTAAAAAAAAATTCTGCCAGAATTTATTTCTTAAACTTCTCTTTCTTCATGAATCTTATTTAGTCTAAAACCTTCAGAAGCCACCCCACTTATATGGCAGTCATTTTCAAACTGTTTCCTAATCCCCTCAATTACTATATAATATTGGTTAAATAAAACTTTAACATGGAACTGAACCAGTAAATGTAGAGATGATTTGAATGGAAATAATTCAAATCTCTTCTATATGGGCTTTACCTACACAATGTCCCCTTGAAATTTGTATCGACTTTTGGGACAATTTAGAATACAATTTCATTCTAGTATAAAATTATTATTTAGGGTTAGATGCAGTTTATTTCCACTAGTCTCTTTACTACAGCCAATTGTTTCATATAAACTCCATCTTTGCTCCTAGTTTCTATCCTGTTTAAAAACCAGAATGCTATTAAACCACCATTCTGCTTCTTCAAATGCATATTTCCAAAAGGACCTTAAGCACTACCTCATTGCTTAAAATAAGAGTGAATATTTATGAAATAATAGAACTGAGTATTTTTACTATGACAAATATATACCTTGAGAAGTTACCATTTTACATTTTGGGGAATTACTGCTGTATTCCATTAGATAAACAGATGTAACTATTTTACAGTTATCATATTTTAGAGCTCTCAACTGAATAATTTTAAGCATTCAAAATAAATGGGTTCAAGATAGTTTGATACTGTTTATAGATTAAGAACATGAATCTTAGAATAATGTTCATGTACTTAGTATCAATAACTTTAAAATATACTTTATTGTTTTGCATTTATTTTCTCTCAGGGCCTGCAACATACAACCCCATTTTATGGAAAACTTGTTCTATACCCTTATTTGTTAAAACATCAAAACGTTTCAAAGAGTCCAAAGAGATAACACCTGGTCCAGCAACCTATGAGGTTTGTTTCCCCTTTTATTAATAAAAATAGAATAGTATAACTTCCAGAAAGTACTGCAAATATATTTATTAATGTCCTTTCCATATATCTTATTCATATTAATGAGTACTCAAAATACTTTTATATTTGAAAATATAATCTGAAATGTTTAAGGAATTATTTAAGAATTAATAATTTACCTATAAATATCCTCAGTAGCATTAATACAATCTTTTACATCCCTCAAACTTAAAAAAGTACATTTTTTCATACACAGTTTGAAATATCTTAAATATTTATTGAAATAATGAATTTATTAGAAGGCTCAAAATCATGTGGATTCAGTGAAATCAAGTATTTACCCTTTATTTTCTTTTTGTAAACATTTATGCTGTAGTTTAGATTTGTAAGTAAAAGTTCTTTTAAGTTGTGGACTTTCTGATTGTAAGGAGGCTTAAGTAAACCAACGTGGTTTTACAATTGTGTTCACAATTAGCCTTACTTCACCATTTGGGATGAAATCACTCCCTTGTTTCCAACCTTTTAATTCCTGAAAGTGAAATATTTTATACTGGCTCATAGTAACTAATGTAAGAATTAGTATCCATATTTACCACAAAAAAGGTGTATTTTGGCTCAGCTTATTTTTACTGAATATGGGCCTCTTTATTTGATAAATATATCAATCTAAATTTTTCATCATTCTCTCATAAGCAGATTTATAACATGTAATCTGAATTAAAATAATAATAAAATAAAATAAGTTAAAGTCTTATTTTACTTGTTGATTGTTTATACCACCAAAATATCAGTGCTAATGCCTGCTGATTAAGAAAACCTAATTTTAATTGACTTATTTCAGAAAAGGAGAAACTGCTAGACGGAGCCTTGGTAGTTTTTCAGAAGGTGGAAGTCAATGAGGGTATTTATAATGTTTTAAGACATGGACTATGTAAAGAAAGGGAAACCTTGATAATGCAGAACTGGTTAGATTGAGTAAAGTTTATGACATACTTGCTTTGGATTGTTGTACATATTTGAGGGAGAGTCTTGCAGCAAGTATAATTCTTGATACATTTGGTAGAATTGTTGCTTATAGTCTAATCATATCATATTAACTCTTTACTGAAGACTTTTCTCAATTAAAAGTTATTTTAATGGTATACAGTTAATCTTGTACTATTTTTGTGATGCATTTTTCACAGGAAATCCAATAGTCTAGTTTCAGCATTTAACTGTGCTCTTTTCTTTAGCTAAGATTTTGTAAATTATATTGTACTTCCCCACAGTAATTTGTTTATTTTATTCTTTTTTAATTCAGCTGGGTTTTTAAATTTATTTTTAATTATGTATTCATTCAAGAACTGGGGTACAGGCCAGAGCTATGGGGTGGGGGAGGATTCAACAGAGACAGAGTGGAGAACAGAACAGGCAGATTGACTGAAATGCACTGCTGTGGGCAGCAGCAGGCAAGTCAGGAGAGGTCTGCTGTGCCATGTAGATCACCTCCCTGGCAGGGATCAAACTCGTGCTGCAGTGGCTGTGGATAGCTTCATAGATTACATCTTAACCCTTTGCACCACCAGGGAGCCCCCCCCCCATAGTCATTTATTATGGAACATTTTTTTCCATGAATTAGATTTTAGGTGTAATTCATAGAGAATCAACATGAGTAGATACTAGATTAAGTTCATTGTCAAATAACTTTTCTGGTGAGATCTGAGTGTCTGTGTGTGTCTTCCCAGCACCTTTCATTTAATAATTGAGAAAATTTTTATTAACAATTTTATTTATTTTTTATATATTTTTTACATTGTTCTTCTTTTTTTTTTTTTTACAATGTATGCTTTGTCATCTCAGTTACAGTCCCCACGAAATTCAAACCACCAATTCACCCATGTACTCTCACCATGTCCCTTGCACTCTTCCCATTAAGATCCTGCTCCCTTCTCCCCCCACCCCCTGTAGCATGTGTCTGATTTATAGTTGCTTGTTAATTTTAATTTTCACTTTATTATAATAACTGCTTTTTTCCTGATCACTTATTTGGATCCTCTACATTCCTATTATCAGTGAGACTATCCAGCATTTTGTTTTTCTTTCTGGCTTATTTCACAGAGCATGATCCCGTCCAGCTCCATCCATTTTCCTGTGAATGGCATGAGTTTTTTTTTTTTTTGAATGCTGAGTAATATTCCATTGTGTATATATACCACATCTTCCTGATCCAGTCATCTATTTGGGGCATTTGGGTTGTTTCCATCTCTTACCTATTGTAAATAGTGCTGTAATCAACATAGGGGTGCAGTTGTCCTTCTGAATTAATGTTTTTGTGTCCTTTGGGTAGATACTTAGGAGAGGAATTGCTGGCTCATGTGGAGCTCCATTTTTAGTAGTCTGAGGAAACTCCACACAGTTTTCCATAGTGGTTGGATCAGATCACATACCCACCAGCAGTGTAGGGGAGTTCCTTTTTTGCCATATCCTCTCCAACATTTGTTGTTGCTAGATTTTTATATGTGCCATTCAATAACTGAGAATTTTTAGCAATTAATTTTCTTCATTTGTTCCCTTCCTTAAAGTAAAAGCTACTTTTAAGCTAATAGGATGATAAATTGCTAGGTACCTTTATTGTAATTTGATCTTATTTTCTTTTTCTATCATGTTTAATAAGTTTAAGTTGGTGACTTGAGAAAAATTTCTTAAGCACTTAGAATTTTTAAAGAAAAATAGAAAAATAGTCTACATTTTAAAAAATATTATTTTTAACTGCTACCAAACATGCCATTAACCACCCCCGAACTACTTCCCTCTACCAAACTTGTACCCTTTCTGTATTTCCTCCGGTAACCAATATCTTTTTTGTTAAGTTCATGTTTTTATTTCTTCTATTGTTTGTATGAGTGAAGCTTTCCCAAATCTGTCGTTCATTTTTTGACTGATTTCACTCAATATATTCATCTTCAGGTACATGTATTTTGTTACAAAAGCCATCATTTCATCTTTCTTTCCAGCTGTGTAATATTCCATTGAAGAGTTTCTATATGCACAGTTTCTATATCCATTTATCTGTTGAAAGGCACTTGGATTGATTCCATGATTTGGCAATTGTAAACAGTGCTGCTATGTACATTAGTACAGATAGATCTTTTCATGTTAAATTTTTCATATTATTTGAATAGATATTGAATAGTGGTATTGCTGGGTCAAATGCAATTTCCATTTTTGTTTTCTTGAGACATTTCTAAATCCTTTTGCACAGGGCCTATACCAGCTTGCTTTACTACCAACAGTGGTTGAGAGCTCCTTTTTCACAGCAACCTCACCAACATTTGCTAATGTCATTCTTATTTATTTATTTTAAAGATTTATTTATTTATTTATCTATTTATTTATTTATTTATTTATTTATTTATTTATACAAGCACTGGGTACAGTCAGAAGTGTGGGAAGGGTGAGAGAATTCACCGGAGCCAGAGCCGGGAGCAGAGCAGGCAGAAGGACCGAAGTACACTGCTGAGAGGAACAGCGGGTGGCAGGAGAGGCCATGTGGGACCCTCCTCCAGTGGCCGGGAGCAGCTGGGGATGGGATCTGTATTGCAGAGGCTGCGGGCAGCTTCGCAACCGAGCACTCAACCGCTGCGTATTTATAATGTTTATAAATATTTATATCTCATCCTTTTCATCAGTTTATAATATTCTATAATATTTTTTAATATTTTATAATTTTTTTTAAATTTAGAAGAGTAAGGTTTATTTTTATTTATTTATTTTTTAAATAATAAATTTTAATTTTATATTCCTCCATACAATTGCAAACCCCCCATTCTGACCCCAATCCCTCCCCTCCCAGACCCCACCCCCCAAAAAGTGTCTCTGGTTCATAGTTTTTTGTCGATTTTGATTTTCACTTTCTTATAGTTACTCATTTTCCTGGTCCCTTGATCATTGATAATTTTAATATGGTTGCATTAAATCTATATGTTTTTGCATAGAATGGCCATTTTGATGTTAATGCTTCCAATCCATGATCAAGGGATATTTTTCTATTTATTTGTGTCTTCTATTTTTTTTAACAATGTCTTATAGTTTTTTTTTTAAGATTTTATTTATTTCTACAAGATCTGGGGTACAGGACAGAGGTGCAGGAGGGTGAGAGGATTCACCAGACACAGAGTGGGGAGGAGAACAGGTAGAAGGACTGAAGCACACTGCTGAGGGTAGCAGCAGGCGAGACAGAAGAAATTTGCCATGCCATGTGTTTCCCGGCTGGCAGGGAATTGAACCTGTGGAGAGGCTGCTGACAGCTTCACAGCACTGTGCTCAACCTGCTGTGCCACCAGTGAGGCCCTTATAGTTTTGTTTACAGAGTTCTTTTACCTCCTTTGGTAGTTTACTTCTACATATTTTTTTTTTTATTTGATTATAAATAGAATTGTTTTCTTAATGTCTTCCTCTTTTTGCACATTCTTTTCATATACATAACCCCGAGTTTCAGTGGTTTTCCTCATAACTGGATGTTAAATATTATAAAACAATTTCATCAAATGATTTCTTGGCATCTATTGATATATTCATATGGTTTTTAATCTTTCTTTTCATTGATATTTAGAGTGTATTGATTGATTTTTGGATGTTGAACAATTCTTGTGCACCCAGTATGAACCCCATTTTGTCATGGTGCATAATTTTTTTAATGAATTGTTGGATTCAATTTGGAAGGATTTTATTGAGGGCTTTTGCATCTGTGTTCATTAGGGGAACTATGCCATAGTTATTTTTCTTGGTGTGTGCGTGTTTGGTAGAGTAAGGTTGGCCTCAAAAATGTGTTTGGTAATTTTCCTTCTCTCACAAATTTTGGGAAAAGTTTGAGTAGTATCGTTATTAGTTCATCTTTGAAAGTTTGATAGAAGTAATTTGTGAAGTCATCTGGTCCTGGATTTTAATATTTTTTTGGGGGAAAGTTTTGATTTCTTTTTCAATTTCCTTGTTTGTGATTGGTTTGTTCAGGATTTATGTTT